GGAAAGAGTGAAAGTGTTACAGGCGTTGCCGTGCCAGCCTGTCATCTTGCCATCCGGGCCGTACTTGTTGAAGATGGCCACAGTCCAATCCTCGGTGTTCGAGCCAGTGAACTGTGCCACGTACTTGTAGTTGGGGGCGGACGAGGCATCAATAGAGATGATGTTGCTGCCGTAGGGGCTGCCAACGTTGCCGGAGTATGTTTCGCCTGAGCCTGATGAGCTAGTTGAGCCGCCGAATCCAGCGGTAGAGTATGAGCCGCTGGAGGGTGTGGAGGTCCAGCTACCGCCGATGGCGGATGAGGTTCCTGTGGCCTGGCGACGCTCGAGGGTTGTGGGAATGGCCAGGGTGCTGGTGGTGAGGGCTGCGAGCAGCATGAGAGACTTGGCGAATTGCATTTTGGTGGTGTGTGTTGGGTGGTTGAGTTATAAAAGAAGGTAGGTATCAATGAAGATATGAACGAGTGTTGTATGTCTTAGTAGAATTCAAAAGACAGTGTTGTAAATGAATGAACGGTGGTACCAAAAGGAGTGTGGTTGTTTGAAGAAAGAGGACATAAGAGGAGGGACAAAGGTAGCTATATATACCTTCGAAATCGACAGAATCTTTTTCTTCCGCCACGCTTGCCTCGTAAGTCCAGAGCAAAAGATGAACCGAAAGTTCCGGGTACCTGGCTCCATCCCAGCGAGCCGCCGGGGGCGCACACCTGGGCATACGTAAAACCGTTCAAAGGAGTCGTATGCCATGGGTTCCACAAAGGTCGAGGCCGTGGGTTTGACATGTAGTCACCATTGGAGGTGGAACGGGGTTGGATCCGGTCGATGGGTCCAACAGTACCTAGAATCCCTAGAACCCATACATAGGTATAGTCTGATTGGGTCCATCTGTGTACATTCGAGCCACCAGTACCTAAATGTAGAGTTTTAGATAATACATGACATTCCTCATTGGCTGGGCCATCATCAATATCCATGGGCACCTGATCCATACACCCATGGATGGACCCGGAGCAAGCTCGGAATAAGAGCAGGTAGGGAAGACACTTTCCAAGGTTACATACGTATACTCCGCGCTCTCAATTGGGAGGTACGTCAATCTGCCGGAATGCAGAAGAAAATACCTAGATATGATAACTGTCGTGCACAAAGTAGGAATGTGACTGCAGAATCGACCATTGGGCAAGGATGACCACCGGTCTGGAAAGCAAAAGGTTTGCAAATCGCATTGTCTGGGTCCAACTCCAAAAGGACGCCCTATTGTGGGCCCAAGAGGGATCAGATCGTTTTAGTCCAGGGCTGAAGGCAACGGAACTATCAGGAACTCAGATCCGACAGTATTATAACTGTGGCCGCTGCATTGTCAAGATAAATTGTCGAAATGCATAATAATACCATTGCACTTCATTACTTCGTGCGAGGAGAATATTATCACTCCCGAGAGCTCGTTGACTGTTGACGGAATTCTGTGGAATTTGTGTGGTCCATGGACGCCGACGTTGTGGTCCAGGAGAAAAGCAACACGATTGGCTAAAAATATGAGTGGTTCAACCAATCATAATACATATTATGGTCTTGGCAGGGCATGGGTTATATTGTGACCAATCAGAACGAACCCGGTTTACAATCCATGGTTTACTGCTTTGTTCCTTGAATTGTCTTTAAACAGGGTTCAATTTCTTTTGGAAAAAGCCGCAATCAAGATGGGCAGTATGTAAGCCATCCGCTAAATCTCTTAGACCTCCACCATCTTCCAGCGGCTTAGATTTCCCTGGATGGATCATTTAATTCTTTCTGTTATCCTGCAACACTCCACCGAAGCGCCACGGCCAAGCCGTAAACCAAGAAGACGCGGATTTGGGGTAATAAAGACCCCAGCGTTTGAAGAGTAAACCTTGGAAAAGACCTCGGGATCGACGTTGCGTCGCCTAAATGGAAACAAGCCATATTACGCATCATTCCACCAGTTACACAGATGTGAATGGAGGCTGAGGGGAAATTGGTCTATCTACTGCCCTATTCGCCGGGCCTAAATCCAATTGAAGATTTTTCGCTGAGTGTAAAGTTTCATCAAGCGTAACTGGAGTTATGATGAAAGAGATCCCAGCCAAGGCTTTGATGTTTCCATGGAATGGTGTATCAACGTAGTTGGTGCTAAAGAAAAGAGTTGCAGAGGCCATTTTCGACATTCTAGCATGAAAATAGAAGTTTGTGACACTTAAAATTTGTTCCGCCTCATTCTAGCAGCGTTGATCAGAGGGGCCCCTAGTCTGATGATCCCTTGTGAGACTTGGCCAAAATTGTGGGTTTCTAAGTCTAAGACAAAAGACAAGTCTAGACTTGTGGATGGCCTGGAAGAGTCTACAACCTAGAAGAAGTTGGCTAGGCTCTGTCATTTTTATTGAAAGATTTAAATTTCCGAAGACGCTTTCCTTACTTTCAAAAAAGTAATATCTATTGCAATTGTACTAGTGAGGTTTGGATATTGCGGCTTTGGCATCTAGCAATAACGGTCACAAAGCCTTTACCACGTGCCAGGGTGAGGACTCATTCTGTCCGCTGAAAATATCCATTCGAAGACAGAATATTAATCACGTCTAGTCAATAGTTAATCTTGGTATAGTCAGGTAGTTAACTAGTTAACTAGTTAGTTAGTTAGCCACGGCGCTTTCATGCCTGTTGTATCAGGCATTCATTATACGACGGTATCACGTGCAGACGCCGCTAGAGGTGGTGGGGTCGCTTCCACGCGATTTGCTCATGTCAAGGACCAATCAAATCATAGCAACGGCTGCGGACCGCCAACATTTTATTCACGATTCTCTTATATTCATCTGATAACTATGTTCTTACTTGATGATCCAATAGATATGTAATCATCAGAGCACTACAAAATTCCCACTAATCTGCAAATTAATGCGATGTTTAGCAAAAAGGCTACACGGACACGGGTGCTCCGGCGGCTCTGACGTCAATACGCGGCATAGACTATCGGGCTAACTCCGACATTGGAGACACGCCATAGCTTACTGAAATTCCGGACAATTTCTGTATACTCCGTATTGTCTCCGGAAAGAAAGGCACGAGGGATCTACCTCCACTTCCCCAGCCCCCTGAGATAAAAGCCCAATCTCCCCTTTGAGGATTGTTCTACGTGCCTGGAGTGTCGCATCAAAGATGACTCCTCAAGTTTCCTCGCTAGCTACGCTGCTGCTGCTAGGGTCCTTCCTAGCACCAGTCAGCTCCAGCGAAATTCCTGTTCAAGCGCAATTGATTGACCAAAGAGCCTTCAATGTCCTAGCCACGACTCAGCCCCCGACCGAGTTCAATGCGACAAGTGTATGCAATTCCTCATTTGCGGTCTCTAGTGGCACCTCATACTGATGAATGCATAGCTATTTGTGCCTCCAGGATCGACAGGAGACAGTCTAGCCCATAAGCCTTTCCATGTGTACGACGAGGAGTTTCTGAAAATCATCGGGGAAACTCCAACTCTAACCCGGATCGCGCACTCCCCAAAAGACCCCCTATTCCATGAGGCGGTTGTATGGTAGGTATCCAACACGTAAATTAAGTACAAGCCAAGAATACATAGAGTCTGACTTTAGCTTCTAGGTCCAAGCGAACGGACGAGGTGTTTTTCGTCCAAAATGCAGGCGCAAAGGACGCCGGCACCGGTCTTGAAAAGTCCGCTATTATCGAGAAGATCTCTCTCGCGGACGCTGCTGCTGTCTCCAACAAGTCGGATGCCGTGGGCCTTGTTGACGTAACCACCGTCCCTTCATCCCCAATGGTTCTCAATCCAAATGGTAGGCAATCAGCTCTTTTTTCAGAAGTTAAAAGCCAACTGACTGTTCTCCAGGGGCTACCAATTACCGGGGACAGATCATATTCACCGGTGAGGGTCAGGGTGACAATGAACCGCCTGCTTTGTGGGTTATGAACCCGAAGAGTCCATATAACACTACAGGTCAGTGAGCACTAGCCCTTTGGATTCAGGGGCTAACAAAATGGTCTATAGTTATTCTCAACAACTACTTCGGCCGACAATTCAACTCCTTGAACGATGTGGCCATCCACCCGAAACACAAAGATATCTACTTCACAGACACAATCTATGGCTATGTACAGGACTTCCGCCCTGCGCCCGGTCTACAGGATCAAGTCTACCGGTTCAACCCCGAGACAGGTGCCGTGACAGTTGTTGCAGATGGGTTTGACCATCCCAATGGTAGGATATCAAGAATGTGTATAGACTCGAAAAGGAAAGTGCGACTGACATTGTCGCAGGCCTCACTTTCTCTCCGGATGGCAAGCACGCATACGTCACCGATACCGGAATTAATAGCGGCTTCTTCGGCCTTAACTTCACCCGCCCTGCTTCTATGTATGTGCTGTCGTTTCTGATGTTCCCTTTGTTTGGACTTGAAGCTGATTACGGTCTGCCTTTCATAGCTACCGATTCGATGTGAAAGACGACGGTACACTTGAGAGTCGCAAGACTTTTGCCTTTGTTCACTCTGGTGCGCCTGACGGTAAGTCAAACAAGCCGTACTTAATGCTATTGAGGCTAATTCTTTGGAAAGGCGTCCACTGCGATTCAAAGGGTAACGTATACGCTGGCTGCGGTGACGGTGTCCATGTCTGGAATCCATCTGGCAAGCTCATCGGCAAGATCTATGTTGGATCTACTGCGGCGAATTTCAACTTCGCTGGAGAAGGTAGGATGGTAATCTGCGCTGAGACAGATCTTTACTATGCCACGTTAGCCGCGGCTGGAACTTATGTTGATAGTGAGATGTGAGAAGTAGCGGACCTGTTTGGTCTATAATCTTTGGATCTGGTGACATGAAAAGAATGTTGGCTAATATCGCAAGAAGCGCTCTTTTATCTTGACTTCCGCCATAATCGAAAGAGCTTGTTGTATTACATATTTATAATATAAAAGAAGGTGAGAGTGAGACTTTCTCTCGGGTATTAACTCCACCTCGATACCATACACGCCATCACCGATGTGTGGTCTGCGATGGTAATTCATGCACCATATTTTCGTCTCGACCAGGAAGCTCTTGCGGTGGCTGGGGCTCCTTAGTGCCAGCAAGTTCTTGTGGTGATTGGGGTTCTTTATTGTAGTACTCGACGACATTCGATCCGGGAAGACTCGATCCGGGAAGACTCGATCCAGGGACACTCGATCCGATCACACTTGATCCGGGAGCACTGGACATTAGAGGGCTTGGGTCCGTATGTTTTCCTATGCTTTGCTTTGCCCTGTTTCGGCGGCGAAGTAGGAACCAGAGTAGACCAGCCAGGATGGCCAACCCAGCTACCCCGCCAACAACGCCGCCAGCAATGGCTCCGGTATGGGACGACGAAGACGAATTCTCCGGCGCGCTTGTAGAGGTGGTCCCTGCTGCAGGATCGGTAATGGCTGTGGTGGGGGATGTTGTCGACGATGGCACGGATGTTGAGGTAGTGCCTGTAGATTGGGTTAGAAATTCGGTTCAATAACTCTATGACTGTATAATGAAGGGTTCAGGCTAAAGCCTTACATACCATAATACCGAATTTTCAATAGAGTCATACTTTTATCCAAGGTGGATGTATCCTCTGTGCAGCCGACAAACCCGTTCTTTTGCTGGAAAGCCTGCATGCCAGCAGCGCAGCAAAAATAATCATTGGCCTTATAGACATTTGCACTGCTGTTTGCACAACGTGTGTGATCAACCAATTCGGTGCAGTCTGCGTCTGATGGGCAGCATTTCACGTTGTCTTGGCCGGTTGGACATTTCGTGCCGCCGGGACAACAGGCGTGGAAGGGCGCCCAAGTCTGCTTGCAATCTTGTTCTGTTGAGAGACAGGAGCCGTTTCTGCGGACGGAGAGCCCAAATGGGCTACTTAACATATCCGACATCGGATCTGTCGCATATCAATTTAAATATCGACAGGATCAATTAAGATAGTTGAAGGAATAGGAAAAACTGGAGAGAGTCAAAGTAAGGCCTGGAAAGAACTGGGGCTGAATGGGGGGGCGTTTGGGGGCTTATATTAGGCTGGGTCCAAGGTTGGAGGCTTATGCCAATCGAATCTGTCATACTCTGTAGAGAAGGAAAAGGGGGACTGTCTCTCTTACTAGCGCATGCAAAAGTGGGTTGGGGGCCGTTTTCAATTTAGCTGCATTATTAGATACCTACGTAGGAATACGCGGGGAAAAAGGGAAAAGAAAGAAAAAGCAACGGTGTCATCAGCTACATACATTCACTCCGTAGCTAGGCTGTGCATACGCATGACTGGCTACCTAGGCAAGTAACCTGTTTACCACATCGCACAGTGGGAACTACCGGTAGTCCTTAATCGGATATGATCGACATTGTATGTATCCGAAGTCCCCTCTCGTATACGAAGGGTCCCCGCTAACACGCCACGCGCCTTGGCGACGCTGAGGGTCTTGGTGCAACTTGTATCGCAATCTGGCGTGGGTGAAATGAGAGGGAAAGCGAAGAAAGAAGCGAAATTTCCAAGGAATTCTTAGTGTACAAGTTACTACTCCGTACTCCGTAATTCGTACAACATAGTATACATAGAGCGTAGAGCCCCAACCTCCAAACATCCTATGTAGGTAGTAAACAATAAACAGTAGGGGCCTGCCATACATTCCCAGTTTGTGTCTGAAAGACGATGTCGGGGGCCACTATAGTGGAGATAAGATACTAAGAATAAGCATAAGTCTAAGTAGCAACATCACCATAAGAAAACTAGGCAGTTTCCCTTCTCATCTCTGTGCGATGTCGAGATGTTCTGAGTTTCCCGGAAAGATAAATTTGCGGGATCGGCCGTGCTCCTGTAAAACGCTCCAATAAGGTGTGGCTGTTACCCGTTAGGGCACAGTAGTGCACGTCTTGCAATTTATAATCTCCCGTAAATTTTAGTAAAAGTACTCCTCCATACGCATCCTACAGCAAAACTGTGGTGAGAAAATTGATATATAATATTAGATGCTAGGTGTCTCTGCACGTACATTATATCCGAGGCGACATCATGATGCCATATTGAGAGGTTGGTGCTCATTTGGCCCATCTTACGGAGTACAAGCTCCACAATCTCCCTTAGATGCTGCTGTGATAACCGTCATATTATTCAGATAGTTCCTAAAAGGAAGCATTCGCTGGAGGACGAAATATTGCTATGAATAAATTTACCAGATTTGGAAGGCATACTAGCACCAAGTATAATATCGTTGCAGAGATCAAAGATTGCAACGATTCCAATGTTATGCTAAATAGACATCATGCCTCGATAATGCAACGATGGCCTTGCGGGGCCATTAAGAAGAAGGATTGCATCTCCATCTCGTTGGCTGTCATACCTTCTTTCGTAGAAGGTCGGGCATTGGGCAGGGCTCGGAAGAAAAGTGCCGTGGCTAGACGGAGCTCCATTCGAGCTAGGTGTATACCCAAACAGACTATAAGAATTAGTTCTGTTGGTGACTCAACCCGTGGACACCGTCAAGGGGCTTACTCCTTGATCCACCACCAAATGGTAAAGAAGCGTCCTTCATTTCTTTTGTGGGATATTCCCACCTCTCGGGTTTGAAACTATTCTCTTATTTAATTTCCAAGTTTTGGCACTATTAAGAGTCAGACTCACTTATCCGGGTCTGGAAAGATAATATGGTCTCGATGAAGACTATAGGCCTGGGTTGAAACCGTGGTCCCTCCTGGCACATGGTACCCGTTGAACTGAGCACCTTCGGGTGGCACTAGTCGAGGTAAACCAAAAGGAACAGCTGTATATAATCTCAAAGTCTCGCTGATAATCTGATTGAGATATGTCAGGTCTCTGAGCCTTTTGTCCGTGACAGGCTCAGGAATAGTAGCCAACTCGGCAACAAGCTTCTCTCGCACTCGGCTGTCCCGACACACGGAATACGTAAGATAGGTCAATGTGACAGCTGTAGTATCACTTCCTGCAACAATATATTCCTGAGCCTCCTGTGTAATATCCGAGTACGACATGCCACTCTTTTCATCAAACAGTTTCGCGAACAGAGTTTGCTTTGGGTTGGATGGGTTTTGGCAGATGAGCTTTTTGTAGCGATCAACTGACTGCATGGCATACGTCTGGAGTCTGTCCTCTGCTTTCGCTGTTTCCTTAATAGCCGGCAGTGGAAAATATCTTGCAATCTTTACTAGAGACGGGAACGTCGTTCGAAAGGGCTGTAGTGATATCAGTCTTTCCATGTCAAGGCTGTATTGATTTTTCTATATTCGTCATTAGAATAAGTAGTCTTTTGTCGAGCTCATGCCCTCCACACACCTTGCCGACCTCAAGCATTCGAAATGAGTCGCCAAATGTGAGTTCACCAATGATGTCCGTGGCCATAAACAGCCACCACTTGAACACATCGGTAACGCCATAAGCCGTCAGCTCCATTGTGATTTTGTTAACAGCTGTACGCACACGATTGGCTATTAGTGGCTCAAGGCGAGCCAGCGAAGAGTCAGAGATAGGCGATGCCAAAAGACGCCGGTGGTGGGTATGGAAATTTCTGTCGGTGGTTGAAAATGTGGTGGGCACATTGCCTAAGGCCAACTTGCGATAAAAAGCAGTTTTAGCAAAGCGACTATTTGTTTTATGGATCTCCTTCACGGCGTCTACGTCGCAGATATCGACCTGATCTGGGCTGATTCGTACAATAGGGCCTAATTCAATGTCAGGTATTTTATGTTGATAACACTAACTGCCGGCAACACATACCATGCTTTTCATGAAGCTGATGGACATACATCGGAGTCCTTCCCTTTAACCAGTTGTATGTATAAATGGCTTCTGTCCATTTCGATATCTCGGGCCCGGGTATATGAGACAGAGGATTTGTGAGTCTACGATATATGACGCTCTAGATATCTCATTTCAGTATGACAGTAACATCCCAGTCCCATATGAGGGGAATTTGTTGTACTTACCAAAAGGGCAGCGCCAAGAATGCATATTAGCCAGTGGGTAATCGAAAAAGAACCAGAAGATATTCCAAGTGACTCCATTATTTGCTTCGGGGCAGTGGCATTCGATATGGAATAAAACAACTGTTAAGGGACAGTGGATTTATACTGCAGGTTTTGTAGTAGCACAATGACAATGAGGTCAGAGAGCGTTCAAAATCCTAACATCTTCAGTCATACGTAGTACGGCAACACATCGGGGGAGAAACATATGATCCGATAGGTAGAGTCATGCTAGAGCTAAGCAAGCAACTGTTTTAGGTGCATGCGGAACCATTTTCTTTCAAAAAGGAATGGCGTTCTCTTGCCGACTTCCGATATTGTACCTTGGTACTTGCCTTGTAACTGTAAGCCATATCATTGACGTCCTGACGTCCTTGGGGTAAGGAATATGATTTCTCGAGACACCAACACTCCCTCAGAGATCCTGGCAATGATAGCCGATACTGGCATTTAAGACAATGAACACACCTACGTGTTTATGCTGGAGATTCCTGGAGTGTCAGTAGGCAGATGATACAACTTTGAAGAAAAGCCTGACCTCACTGTACTACGAAATTCTCTATCTGCACTTGCCTGTCATTGAAAAGGACTAACATAGTATCTAGGCAGAGTTTGACGAGAGAATGATACCAGAAGCTGTCAGTGCCAAGACCAAGTTTTTTTTACTTTCTTTTTACTTCTGTGGTCTTTTTCTCTCTTACCCTTACTTGAATGCAGTATCTATAGAATTCACTAGGGTTCGTCTTTGACAATGTTGGATAATGTCACATTTTGCTTGCTTCCCGTAGCATGGTAGCTCCCTCTCTCCTTTTATTAAAAAACAAAAAGAACCCCTTAGTATTCACATCATGCATTCCGATATGTCTGTTTCTCGTCACTTCTGATAGATAGGTTCATCTGTATGCCACTCAAATTTCTATCTTAGAAAGTCGCAGAAGCCTATGTTGCCCGCCACTGGGAACCATTTGCGGGGATCTTCCTGCTGACGTTGCCTAAGAGTAAGAGTCGGTCAAATGTTTCAGAAAGTCATATTTGCTGCTACTCTCTTCCCAGTTTTGTGTCGCTGCTATCACTTGTTCGCTTACGATCTATGGATATTTCCGAGTGAAGCACACTAGTGTGACTATTTGATCAACATTCAGGTAAAAGGACGAGCTATCTATGGATATGGTGATACTAAGAAGCAATGGAGAAAGATGGAGAAAGTGGAACTGAAAGGTTGAAGAGATATACCTGTCATCATTGCTCTACCTAGCTAGCTTTGCTTGTAGTGGAAAGTACAGCCACCCCACCCAATCCGATTCGATATCTCCTTCGCTGCCGTAGGTGTCTTCCACCTAGTCTCTCCAGGGCCACACGATGCTCACCCAGGGTGTGAAGCTGCCACTATCACCCCAACTTTTCACACCCAGGCTAATAAGGTTTCATCGCTGCTACAAGGGGCAAGGCATATCAAATGATTGATTGAGTAGATCAGTATGACTTATGCGCGGTCAATAGTTCGGTGCGTGTCGCCCGGGTGAGTTTAGGGTGAGAGCCGCTTTATCGTCGCGCGACCGGGGGTAAGAAGGGTGAGTGCACTATAAACGGGTTGAGAATCAGGGTGAGAATCACCCAAGTCGCGCGACCACTGCATTGACCCCTTCAGCTGAACAACAGCAGAATATCATTGGATCGTGTTGTTTCCCTTGAAACGCTCGGCATCTTGGCATCTGCGCATAACTAGAACTGGAAGCATCATACACCCAGGCAGTAGGCAATTTGGCTATACCAATCTAATTGGTTGATCTGCTTAGAAAGCTATCTCAAGATCGAGCGGAACTGCAGATCACATGCATAGGCAACAGGTTTCTGATCCACTCCGTTTGACCAATCTTCAAAAGTAGAAGGCCAGGCTCGACGAGGAGACCAAGAAATTGAGTCGTCAACTGGAAGACTCGCAGGTCATGATTACATCCCTGGAGAAGCAGAAAGAGAAGTCGTCGTTGAGCTTGGAGGATTTGAACCAGGAGGTCAATCGCGAACACAAGACCAGTCGTAATGCTGAAAAGCCTCTTCAACAGCCAATCTGCAACTAGTAGAGGCCAATCGCAAGCTCGAAACCAAACAACAACTTCGCAATCAAGCCCAAGCAAATATAGCCGCCGAGCTGGAAGAACTTCAGAATAAGCTTTAGACAACCTAGATGCAGAACAAGCACCTTCAGAGCCAGCTTGGACGTCCCATACTCGCTGCGGATATCTGGCAGGATGAGAGTCCTTCAATTCGTCGCATGTTTACTCCAATGTCTTTCTGTACTCAAAGAGCAGAGGGTCAGAACAGGATATAGAGTATAGATACCCCGTGAGGTCAAGACAAGGGGAAAACTGTGGGCTTCTACTGGGAGCGTTCCTATTAAACAATAATTCTATAATGCGAAGATCAAAGGTCAAAAGGCTTTTCTAGGCTTTGGAGATTGTAAGATAGCTACCACCCTGTCCATCCCCGATTGGTTGCTTTTTGCCAGGGCCCAAGAAAGATATCTCTATCCCTGTGTGCCATATCAAACATTTCTTCTTCCACAGGGAAGCCACTGGTTGAATCGAGATGATAAGCCGGACTTTCCTGCGTTATCGGGCGTTTTTCCTCGACCCGAAATACTGGCATAGTACCTGAATTAGGCGAGCTACCGAATTTGAGCACAGTCAAAGCCTTTTGACCCTGCTGCCAATCAATCTCCGAACAGATAAAAAGTACCTGGTCTGCATCATGGTATTGCTTGACCATCCCAGGGGTCTGACTCGTTGTTCCTGGGAGTGGATGGACTTCATCACGACCACACTGGTTGAACATCCGCACTTGATCCGTATAAATCCCCCGTCTACCCTTTTCATCCAGGTAATGCTGTATACAATCCTCGTAGGCGGCTGACGGGAGAAGGTACGCATCAAGACGTACATCGAAGCCGTCCTCGTTGCATGCCTTAATCTCCTTGAACAAGCCCAATGGATCGGCATTTTCCGGCGTCACGGCTGGATGGGTGAAATATATGGCAAATGAGAACAGCGGCGGAAGTGGGAATGCTTCCAAGTTTCTGAAGATCATATATGCTATTGAGCCACGATGGTCGGTAAAGGGGAGACTGTGAAATTCCACGGTCCCACTACTATAACGGCCGTATTCATCTTCACTGTCCGAATAATAATCCTCGTCACCGTCGTTGGCTTTCTCTTCTACAGAGCGGAGGAGGAGCTCTTCAGAGTCTCTAAGCTTCCTTGGGTAGTCACAAGCTACCACGCAGCGATCACTTCCGTCTCTCTGCATGTAGATAGTTTCTGCCCATAGCTCCTCCTTTTTGCCGGCCCTGGGTAACTGATCGCCACCTTTCACATGAAAAGCAATGCCCTTATCAGCACAGCGCTCTTTTAACCGCTGATATGGCTCCTTTATCTCTCTGTTGTTGATGATGATAGGGTCAACCTCCTCGAGCGTAATAGATCTCAGAGATGGAAAATTCCCGTCTAGCAGACTTTGCAGCTGATCGGGGATGTCGGGAAGCGCGAGGTACCCCTGGTAACCGTACAGCGTGAGAGTTTGTATTGTTTGAGGCAGTGTTTCTCGCAACCGGAAGGGCGCTAGAGGCGAGCCGAGGCATCCACCTAGGAGCATGTCAAGGTGGATTCCGATATTTTTGAGGCTTGTGAAGTCATGGAAAAGGCCAAAGTGTCCCATCCCGAACATCGGAGCAGCCCGATAAATATCGACAGCCTCAAGACTATCTTTGTGCTTTCGTAAACACTCCCACATTTCACAGTTTGATAATTCAGAGAGATCATAATCCTCCGGATTGTAAAGCGAGAGACTCTTAAGTTTCCCGGTTTGAGATATCAAGGCTTGAAAATCTGGAATTTTGAAAACTCCTTTCGCGCCGTAACCAACCAGATAGAGGGTTTCCACATAAGTCTCAGCATCATGTTGGCTTAGGTACTCGGCTGCGTTCTTCGGGTCGAGGTTATAAAGTAGCAAATTCCGCACCTCGGGAAGATAAAAGACTGGCCAAAGGTAGTCGAGCTTGAAATGAGGTAGGCCGTCACGTAGTGTTTCGTCCGGGAACGATTCGGGCGATTCATGTCTATAGCCATCATTTCTTTCAACAAGCACGGGATATTCCGAAAACAAGTAGACCTCCTTAAGAGCACGTAAAGGAGCGGAGGTCTGGTCCTGGAGCGTTTTCTTTAGAACAGCCCCTAGCACAGGATCGGAACGGGGCACATGAGCATAGATAGTGGAAAGGTTCGGGGCAGATGCCAGGAGTATTGCTATCAGAGGTCGGCGATCTCGCTTGGAGAGACTCTCGAGAATACTATATTCAAGCTCATGCAGTCCAGTATCATAGATCGCACGCTGGATCCATTCTATTTCGTCTGTCGGCAGTTGAATTGGCCTCGGTGGCCCATCAACAATTGCGCGGGGATAGAAGCCCCAATTCCCAATATTCAAAGTTCGTACGAGCGCTGCAATGCGCGCATTCTTACATATCGTGCGAACGAACTTCAACAGTGTCCTGAACGGCTGTCTAGCACCATTATAAGCCCACCCGTAGTATATGCGACCTAGCAAGGCTGTGTGCCATTTGCGATTTAGAAGGGCCAAACTGCAGAGGTGCTGAGTGTCTGACTCGTCGCCTAGAGCCAAATTCATAATCGTGTCAAAGAGTTCGGTGGGCAACCCTGACGGGTCAGGCATTGTGGTTGAAATGGTAGTTAGTAGAAGACCTGGGATTTATCTCTGAGGAATGTGGGTAGTTGGAAACCACATCGAACGTGTGCCAAGGAAATCGAGCGTGGTTGTTATTCCAGCCAGCAGGCGAAATTTGTGACCAGACAAGTTGCTAGCGTTGCTACTACATATAGGATAGCTCAAAATCAGTTTGAGCATTTTATTCGGATAACGTATTGGGTAATACAGAGATGGTACACCTTACGGTCTAGGGTTTGTGGCTCGTCGGTTTGATAACGGCAAGCTGCTGCAAATTATGAATTTGTACGAGAGAACCTTTCCCCCTCGGGCAGTTCCCGAAACAATGCGCTGGAAACGATGGGAAAGGTTCCTACCTCGCAATTATCTCGGAGTATTCTGATCTGCGGATCCACGGTCGATAGATTATCTAGAGAAAGCGTTGTCGCGAAGTGCTCAAAGGGTGCTGAAGCGATTGAAACTCCATCGCGCGGGTTACAGGCCACAATCCTGGTGGCAACACCACCTCGTATTAGCAGGTTATATGGAGGCTGTGTGCTTGATGGTGACATATCTCTGCGAGATTACCCAGAAAACAAAGTGAGGTGAGTACGACAAGCTCCGCTATGCTAAAATGCTAAGCTGTTCAAGGTACGACTACGACTCTTGCTATTCTGGCCTATCTATCCGCATGCTAAGTCCTGTCCATAATGTTCCTTTTGCGCAAACATAGTCGAGAATATCTCACGACAATTAAAGCAATCCAAGTTGAATAAGGATTTTGAAAATATAGCTATATAATATTCATAGGGAACTAAATAATGGAATTATTAGCAATTTAACATATATAGAACTAAACTAGTCTATAGCACTGTTGGCTCTGGGAGAATCCCACCCCAGGGGATTTGATTAGGAGATCTCCATGGGCTTGACAAGGCTTCCAGAGCTCATTGTTCAGGAAACGATATGATTCCGAGCCCTGTCTTGTCCCACACTGAGACATCAATGGGATCATTAACGTTTGTAGATCTATGGCGTATCCCGTATTGATATCGAGGGCATTCCAAAATAGCCCAGGTCCGTCTTCGAACTATGTAGTGATGTGCTGACCAGTTCTTTTGATCAGTGAGTAAACCATCTGGCTAACTACTTCCAAGGTTAAGGATTATGCTGCTCTGGGATTCATGTCAACAAATCTTAACCCATCGCTTTCTCCAGTAAACACTGCGTCAAATATGCTTCGTCTGTCACCTTTTTACCTACCGACCAACCAACCAAAAAGTCTACGTTTTCCCGATGCAAGTCAATTCGCCCGACTCATTTTAAGCCATCTTCATTGATCTTATGATACTTTTTTTTCCAAACGTGTACGGGCCTAGCAAACCCCTCCTCGTCCCTCTCAACTTTCAGTATCCTCTCAAATCCCTGCGCTTTCAACTCATCCTCAAACGGTGGCCTGATCCGAATCGTCTTATATGTCTCTCTCAATTCTTTATTCTTCTTTGAAGCTCTCGCATAATTGCTCATAGGCTGCGGCTCCACGACGAGATAACCCCCCTCATTCAGTATGCTTCGTATGTGCGCAAATAGCGTCAATATCCCGGAGTCCCCGTTGTTGAGGTGTATCCACTTGGTCACAGAGAGCAGTAGGACAACGTCGAATTTGCCCAGCGCGGTACCCGTGTACGCGGACGCATCCACGAAGTCAAACTGCTCAAATGTGCACGGCCCGTCCGGGTACGCAGCCTTCGCCTGCTCGATCAGCCACGGGTCGATATCAACGCCGACTGAGGCGGCCGCGCCGCAATGCGCTATCGCCTCATGGGTCAGTTTGCCCGCGTTGCAGCCTAGGTCTATGACTCGCGCGTTGCGGAGGATATCTGATGGGAGAATGGAAAGGCGCTCGTCTGGAACGGTGGGCGCCCGGAACTTGGCGTAATATTGGTGGTAGTTGCCATGGCGCGCGGCGAGGTGCGTAGCTTTGAAGCGCTCTGCTTTGGAGAGTTCTGTTGTAGGGGGGGTATGGTGATGGCATGCTTCTGCCATACTTGGAGATAGTGCGAGCAGAGAGGCACGTGTTGGTGATGACATTGATTATGTCGAGAGAAAAGTATGTAATGATGTGACTAACGTTGAGTTTTAGCACACTAGATAGGCCATATATTAGGAGTTAAAGGTCACGAAATTTTGTGATCAATGCCAAAGTTTTGTTGCGCTCCCGAGAGGTTTGTAGGGTTTGCATACTCTCGGTTCCTGAGGCACTAGCTACTTAGCCGGCCTAGCAAGTAGCCGGCCGCTAACTAGATTATCACTACTACCGGGGCTTAGTGATCATATAGAAGAAGGGTTTTATATTAAGGCTAAGCGAGTGCTTAGCGCTTAGTAATAGATGCTCCATATAACTAGTTAGCTAGTACCTGGTACTATCTAATAGAAACCATACGATCCTTACAGAATCTCATTGTTCTACCCCATTGATCATGTGATAGATATAAGTGGGCCAATGATTTATATTGAGTCTTGGTCTAGCCCATGGAGGCATAATGTGTCCACTGATTAGATCTGTCCAGTCTTAGGAGGGGAGCAGTATTTCCCGAAGTACGATAGCGAAAGGCTGTGAAAGGGGATTTTAAGGAGTTTAAAGACGATCCTTTCGGGATATCCACAATATGACGTCAGCTTTGCTTACTGTTTTTTTCCGCGTCTTCGTTACTTGTGCAAGCCTAACATCCACCCCGAGGTCGTACTCAACATGCCATTCAGACAGGCGCTTCAGGGCATTATTGATAAGGCAGACAAGGCTTGGGAGGAAATAAGCCATCACGCCACTCAGCCGGTACCGTCGTACAACAAGCCTCCCCTACCGCCTATTCCAACCTCTAGCAAGCCACCACTAGCTTATCAGGAACAGTACTCGCAACCCCAGATCTACTGGCGGCCCAATCTACATCCTCAAGTACCGGTGTCCTCCAACTTTGACCACCAACAGGGTCAACATGGATGGGGCAACAATGAGTCGCAGAATTATACCGACAGCCCTCAAAACTCATTCCACTCAATCCAGGGCGATGCGGTGATTGTGCGCGCTCTGATCAACCACGGGCATCCCGACCCTGCCCAGAAGTTTACCAGCGCCAGACTGTCGAGTCTCCAGACCCTCAGCCGACCACGGGGCTGTCTGTCGGCCAGAATTACGGCGCCGGTGGCCCGAGGTATCTGGCCTGCCTTTTGGCTGCTGCCTAAAGACCCATTCAAGTGGCCTGAGGATGGCGAAGTCGACATAATGGAAGCGTGGAACGGCGATGCTGTGAACCACACTTGTCTGCATTGGGGCCACTTCAACGGCCAGGACTGGAACAAGCATCGCGTTCTCGAAACCCCCATCCCCAACATTAGCTCGCCGGCGGGGGTGAGGTACGATTTTATCTGGGACGAGGACGAAACAACGGGCAGGGGGCGCTTGGTCTGGTTGATTGATGGCGCGCCCATCATGAGGGCCGAGAAGCCGCCTGGCACGAGGAAGATGAGCGAGTTCAGAATCCTCATCAACATCGCTGTTGGAGGGAATGTCTGTCAGGGAAATATGCCCAGTGATGGATGCTACGAGATGGTGGTTCGTGAGTTGACCATGTGGGACGCGCCGCCTTGGGGGTGGAAAGAGTTTGACAGGGCTTGGAGAGATTCCAAAGATGGCAATACCATGTAACGGAAGGAAGGAAATTTACATTGTAAAGTAAATCAACTATACCCACATCCCCTACTTTCTACAAGAGGTACTCTAGGCGAGTGAGACGAGTTGTCGCATAGTGATAGACCGAAATTAATCATTTAAACAAAAATTCAAAGCGATGCATCTTGGCTTGTAGTTAGTTATTCTCGCAGTTCTTGCCTTGCGCAAGAATCAATCAATCCACTCATTTTTTTTATATAACTAAGCTACTTCCGCATTCCTGTTGGCCCCTTGGTTGCTCCAAGTCCCATATTCACTGATCACCATCAAGTTCGGAATGGCATTGACTCTTTAGACTGGAAGAATACCGCTGTTCTCGGTATACTTCAGTATCAGGAATTTGATATGATCTTGGACGTCTCCGATACCACGTCTGATCAGTCGGCCTTCTGTTGGAGATGTTGAAACGGCCTCACCTCCTTGCCCAAACTCAGTTGATGAATATCCGGATAATATCGGATCCGACGTGGGATATTGCAGCTCAAGGGATGCATACGGCCAATTTGTCTTAGGAGGCATCATAGGAATAGTAGAGCTCCTTAACGATGGGACTGCGCTCAAGCCACCATATCTAGGTTATGAGATAGGAAATCACATCATAGGCATCGCTAAAGAAGCTAGCGTATATCGGCGTACTAGACCGCATAACAGGCTTATTCGGATGCTAGGCCATGGTCTCGCGCTTGAATATATGAAGAACAGCGATCTCAAGACATATCTCCAGGCTCACGGCTCGATGTCTATAAGCCTCAAGTTGAAGTGGGCATGCCAGATCACAAAGGCTGTTTACCTATCGCATAGGAACAGAATTTCTGATAATCTGCACGCAGGTATAATAGGTCCCGGACTTTTTAGCGATCTATAGCTGTCAGGTTTCTCACTCTGATTAGCTTCGAAGGCATTACTAGCCACCTGGGCAGGGTGAAGGCTTAACACTTGACTCATGTAGAGACTTGGCCTACTTTATGTTATCATAGTATATTTGGCTCAAGTACGATGGGACGGCATGAAAATAGCAGAATACTTCTATACATAGCCTTGAAATACTACCTCTCCAATTACGCGGGAATAGGGCCCCGAAAACCACGCAATGAGAACTAAGTAAAACTTCAATTAATGCAAGCTTGCAAAACAGGATGGAAATCCCACAGCTGAACGCCACCAATTAAGCGACTCTACCTTTCTCATTACCTAGGTATCTGCCTTTAGATACTCTGCACGGGACTTCACATCGTTATAACAGCCACTCCTCTAATAGCGGTCACCCTATTTATCCTGGAAATATAAATTTACCATTACACGTGCTCCTTCACGATAGAAGGCTCCGATATATATATAATCTTATCATTTTCTTGAGTGGGGACGACAGTGTAGGAAGAATAAAGGTGCGCTTCCAGGACCCCTTCTGCCGATTGGGAAAATTGAGTAATGCCGCTCGCTCCTAAAAACGACATTGGTGACTACTTGAGACTGGATCTCGAAATTGCCAACTGGCCAATTTCTCCTTCGTATTTCTCTTTATTTTCTCTCGCACCAAGTACTTCTCTCAAGACCATAAATTCAGCTCCGACCTCCCTGTTCGGAATAGTCTAAGCTGGGAAAATTTCCGTAAAACTTCATGCGGAACAGATCGAATAGCTTTGATGAGAGAATTCACTTTATCAATCCATGGATATAAGCAAAGCGTTAACATAGAGCTTTTTGGGCATGGCTTACCTATTAAAGTGTTTGTCTTTTTTTTGCTCTGTTGGACACTTTGATTTAGTGACTACCAGTTCTCGGTTTGAAAGAACTCTTCTTCAGCCCGGCTTATTGGAGAGTACTGATTTATGTGAGTTGGCCCCTATCAACCCTAGGTGAGAATTGTCACCCCGTGCTCACCTCTCTCACCCAGTCTCTAGACTTTTCACCCATATCACCCGCACTCACCCTCGAGTGCCGCTTAGGTGCTAAGGGCGCATTGAGTATTGGCCGTGCAGTATACTAGGCTTAAGTACGGCTGAGCGGACGGGAAGCCCTGTTTTCCACACCCTATGGTCGTATGTATCAGGTTACGTATGGGAGAGGGTTATATAGTGGAAATGGTTGGTTGATGAGGGTGCAATATGGGGTGAGGACAGAGTGATTTCTCACCCTTCGAACGATCTCATGTTCGCAGCTTTGCCAAAGGTTGAAATGATTGGATGATCTTGTAGCACCTGAAACAGTAGAATCCCCGGCCTAAATTGGCAGTGTGTAGGCAATCCACTCGTCATTGATTTCGAAGACCCTATGCGAATTCTTCTACCTTTTTTTTCTAGAAATACTTCATCTCTCTCAAGTAGTTTGAAACTAGCACCGTCATTTGCACGAATTGGTTCAAACTATTATTATTGGAATGTTCTATCATTAGGTCTGTTCTTTCATTACCCCCCAAAGTTATGTCAAAATCAGGACTTTCGTCTCTCCATCAACCGATCTTATGCTTCACAACGTTCTAACCTTTTTTCATGAAGAAAAAGGGAAGAAGCAACAACAACACTCCTAGTTCCGGGTAAGTCTTGCGCGCAGACCTGCCCCAAAGAAGTAGAAGATATACGGAATGAAAACCATAGCAACCCCAATGAAAGCAAGCAGCCAAGAAGCCCACTGCAACCCAAGACGATCATACATCTGCGTAGTGAACAGCGGGAAAGCCGCGCCACCACCAGAGCGCAGGAAGACCTTGGCTGCCAAAGCCGACGCAGCGTACTTCTGGTACGAGTCGATGATGTAGTTATTCACTGCATAGTAGCACAACACCATGCCGAAACCAAATGCAATCCCCGACGAAGCAGGTCCAACCCAGATAATATGCCTGTAGGAGGTAGCGCCCAAGATGAAGAAGGCGACTGGGATAAAAGGCGCACCAATCAGAGCTGCGTAGAGTCGGTCTTCTGGTGTCGGAGATCGCGTGCTGCATATTTTCCGGAACTTGCCCTCGATGGCTGGAGTAACAACTAGGGCGAAGCCGGCGCCGATCAGAATAGGGATGAACATGAGCCCGATCTGGCCGTCGTTGTAGCTATAGAGCTTGGTGAAGATCACCGGGTATGCGAAGAAGAAGGCGTAGAGCATTGCGTAGATCAGGACGATATACATGCACATTAGGTCGAGAACGGGCTCTGTCATGATCATAGTGATGGGTCTGATCAGGCTTGTGCGAGCGATTTCCCGGAATGTGAGCTTCGTCTTTTCTTGCTCAGTGATGATGTTTGGGTTTCCGGTTTCTTTGCGGAGTTTTGCGGCGCGCCGCTTAAGGATCACTGGAGCGTATGTCTCCGGGACAAGGCCGACCATGATCATGATGGCACCGGCAAACGCTAGGTTCACCCAGAAGAAGAGGTCGAGGCGGCCAGTTCCAACGTTGATCCAACCTGTCACGATGGGGCCAAGCACAGGGCCGCAGTAGGGCGCAGCGGCAAAGTAAGCAATAGCCATCCCGCGCTCCTCGATGCTCCAGATATCGGCGATGGTGCCACCAGCGAGGGAAAGGCCTGAACTGGAGAAGACGCCGCATAGGAATCGGCACACGAGCAAGCCACCGATGTTTGGGGATAGAGCGCATGGAATGTTGAAGATGACATATAAACCAAGAGAGATGACATATACAGGCCTTCGGCCGATGATCTCAGAGAGGGGAGACCAGAGTAGAGGACCAACTGCGAATCCGCAGACCATGATTGAACATGTTAGGATAGCAACTTCGAGGGAGACATTGTATTTTTCTTCAATCAAACCCAATCCTCCCGTGACGATGGAGGACCCGAATGCGACACATACCACAAGTGTCGAGGCGACAAGAGTGATGTACCAGCGATAAGCGCGGGACCAATTATAAGGATGTTCAGGATCACCGATGGTGAATGTTACAAACTCCGTGGGACCCTTTCCTCCTTTTTCAATGTCGGTGTCGACCTCGTTTGTTGGTGTGCCGATTTTCGTCGATGAGATAGAAGCATGAGATCGGATCTGCTCTAGGGTTCTTTGGGGAACAAGACCAGTACTGGTTTCAACGGTGTACTCTTCAGGGAATACAGGGTCCGTGTCATGTCCAATAGCTGGGTAGTTGTAATCCAATGATGGAGGGGTTTCTGCGATGCCCTGGTCGCGGAGGCTCTCTTGGGTTTCGGCCATAGATACGTGCTGGGGATGCAGGAGCTCTGGTGTCTCTGAGACTTCTTCTGGTATTGTTGAAGACATAATAATAATGTATAGGGATGGAAGTACTTTTGAGAGTATTGGAATGATTGCACCAGATACTTATAGGTGACATTGCAGATACTTATACTTCCAAGGAGGCTTGCGAAGGTGTCATATACTTACAGCGCCGAGCCATCTCCGAGATATACCGGACGATCACCTAAACCAGTTACAATGTGAGCGGCAAAAACTCGGTCCGAGCTATCACCGTGTGTACACCTACAAATGCGGGTGAATCCAGCCCAACTTTAAATTCGTGATAACACTGCCGGTATGCCGGACTGCGCTTAATATTTCAAATCGGATCGGATCAGGTTTTTAAAGGCCCGATCCTTTCTCGGCCCATGGAGGTCTCCGGCATATTACTAGTTCTCATTTCAACGCCAATCGCGTGAATGCTAGCATACCAAGATAGGTTCCAATCTCACTTTCCAAACCGCGAACTCGATGTCGCTTTGAAATTTTAATGGGAGCAAGTTGGGGATATATTTAGGTCATTGGGAGTCCACCCACGGTTTTTATGATCACCTATGTTGTATGGACAATGTTAAACAACTGTCTGAAAAACAATATGGTCGAGTACATTGTGAAGCTCACATGACATTCACGATGCAGCAGTTATCCGCAAGACGAAGTCAATTCGAAGAAACGACTGACCTGGCCCAAAGCCTCCTATAAGTTGTGGAGGGTCAAAGGCTCAGCCGCATGGGCCGGGTATCAGGGTATGTATTTTTCTATGTAAGGTATGCCGCTTCAAGTGATCTTTGGTCGCTTGTTCATGGACCCAGAGTCCGGACGAGATCGCTTTCGCTCCATTGCCTCCATTTCGGCTCTCATAATCCTTTCTTGTTCAGTCATCTTCTTAGGAGCTGTGAATATAGAACCCTTCTTCCCGGCCAAAGGGTTCTTCTTAGCCGCAGCAAACACGTTCTTCGGCTTCTGTGTGCCCATTGACATCGAAATCTTAACGGGTGCGGGAGGCGCAGACGGAGCGGGAGAGTCGGTGCTTCCTGTCGGTGCATCTGTTTCTTCCAGCGACACTGTCGTCGCTGTTGCTGTAGGAGGCGAGGCAGACTTTGTATCTGTTTTCTTTGAGCCCAGTCCAAGATTCAACGTCATCTTTTCTCCTTCCTTCCTCTGCAACAATCTTGCCTCGGGTTCTGGTTCTGTCGTAGTGCTGCTAGCCAGCGCCGCTTGCTGGGCTCGCTTAATCTGGTCCTGAATCAAACGTTGCTCTCGCTCTTCGTCACCCTTCTCCTGGCGTTCTTTCTTTAAGATGGCCTCCCGGCGGCGAAGTGTGTCTGGACTGTTATCAATCCATGCTATGACCAAGCCCTTATCGGTGTCCTCAACTCGGCACTTCCCCTCCCGGCCTAAATAGGCCGCAAACTGTGATAAACTTTTCCATTCTGCCACCAAAGTTAGTATTAGTCTTCCTTTATCCTTTTCGTCGGGACATACCTGTGCTGTTCATGTGAATGTGCTATGCAAAAAGTCAGCCAGAATGAGCAAAAAAGAGTGGAATACTAGAGACATACCTGCTTATCGGCCACAATTTGATTATAGAAATGATTGACGTTGATAGGTTTAGTTCCATGCGTGGTTCTGAGGGTATCGAGAAAAGTTCGCTCAAATTCGCGACTAAACTCTCTGATGTGCTTGCGCGGGTCTTCCCCAATGATCATCATCTGTCGCACTAATATAAAGTTAGCCGGTGGCCAGGGCATAGAGGATGGAGTTCCATACCATGCCCTTCAGTCATAGTGTGACATTTAAACCCGTTTTCGTCTCGACATTGTTTCTCACATGCTTGGCAATACCATCGAAGGCGACCCAATCCTTTGCTTTTGATCTTGTTGCCGATGGCTTTTGTAGTGCCAGCCTCCGCACGGCCCATTTTGTATGTTGATAAATAAAACCGGGGGAAGAGTTCGAAGGGAGCGACAAGAGAGGAAAGCTTCGAAGTGTCAAGAGGTCAGAAAGATCGGGTATGTTGAGAAGCGTTCGAAGCGAGTCGTGAGAAAGCTTGGATGTGGCGCAGATCAACGCGATAAGCCAGATTATTATATAATACGTCACATGACGCACACCAAAGAGGCCTAGTCCCTCTCTCCAGTTTCCAAGATCAGTCCTTAATTCGATGTCTAGATGGATGGATGAACATGAAATGAAGCCCAGCACCTGGATTCATTGAACTGTCCTGATAAAATTAAATAAAACTCCCCCAAAGCCTACGCCATCCTGAGATCGCTTTTCTACCTAGGATCATAGCGTACATAAAACAATAAAGAGACATTTCAGAAACAAACCAGCCAACTTTGCCAAGGCGAAGGTTTTTAACAACAGCGAAGAATGTGGGATAGAACAGCATGAGTATCAAATCACCGAGTCTGCAACTATTACAGGATGTACTCGTGGATTGCAGACGGTCCGCTCTCGTTGTACTCAACCCGGCTCATGTAACCCTTACTGAGACCCTGATCAATCACAAAGAAGACCTTGGCAGCCATCTGGGCGCCGAGGAAAACAGCCTCTTCCATTCCATGGCCCCCTTGGGATGTGCCGGGCGCGCCTGGGGTACCCCCAGCGCTGGCACCAGGAGCGTTACTGTTGCCTTGGTCCTTGAAGTCTGGGAAATACTCAGGAAGCTTCAGAGTCTTGACTGAGGTTGGAGTTTGCGAATGGCCGGTTGAACGGTACTGTGACATCATGCTTGGGTCCATGGACGGCGTGCCAGGCATACCACCGGGCATACCGGGATTGTTGTGAGTAGCAGCCACAAGGAGAGGGTTTACTCCAGGTGCCGCGGGGTGGTACATCGGGGCGGGTTGACCCATAGGAGCTGGTGTGTTGGCACCGGTCGGAAGGGGGGTGGTGAAGTTCGAAGGAATTTCAGACGTGAAGATGGTGCCGGATGGAGAAAGTATGAACTTTTGCGTGATGACAGCCAGCAAAGCCTGTGTGAAACCTGTTTTAATGTTAGCAAAAAAGAACTAAACTCTAGGTAACAGTGATAAAACGTACCCTTGACCTTGCTTCCACATCCAACGATAATTAAAGAGTCCCAAAGCTCGCTTCGTTTCGTAGCATCTGGGACGGCAAGAATGGTGTGGTGAATCTGAGTCGCAATGTCTTCGAGGATACCACCAGTCAGGCGGTTTCCGACCTTCGAGCGCGGCGAAGTTAAAAGGAAACGCTCAACACTGACTTCAATATCCCGAGTATGACGGATGTATTGCCGTGCACCATGGGCTGCTGCCTTCTCTCCTTCCAACTGAACAAACTCCTCGAACTGAAAGGAGGCCTTCTCTTTCTTCGAGTTAGGTAGGCGGGCTCCCTTGGGGTCAACTGCGCCTTTCTTGGTAGTTGTCTTTTCCTTCTCGACATTGGCAAGGTATTCAGTGGGGTTGCCGCTAACAATCGCAGCAACATCGAGAACACCCTCCTCTTCGTCACCATTATCCCCCTCTATCCCTGTCTGAGTGCCGTCTCCTGGGCCACGTGGAGCAGATTCAACTCCATCTGATCCGCCCGTCGATGCAGCAGCAGCAGGGTTGGTACCCTGGCGCGCAGTAGCAGAAGACCCAGGCAGCGGGGTTCCTGGGGGCAGAATCTCAGTAATATTGCTTCGCTTAAGCTGCTCGCACATCTCTCTGGTAAATCCCTTCGGACCCAGCAGCTCAACAAGACGATTGGTCATAGCGTCTCCACCACATCCCTCCAGTGCGATTCCCCTGCCGTGTTCGTTGACTGCGAAGTCTGTCACAGCAGTGACATCGACCTTTCCCTTTCCAACATCGACAATAGTTGCTGTAGCTGTACCATAGCCGTAGCAAGCCGCAAGAGCAGAGTCCATAAGACTAAACGCGGGTGCCTTGAACTTCTCAAAGACAAATTGAGTAATTGCTTCACGATCGCGTGCAGACCAGACGGGCTGACCGATAAGCATAATAGGGGTGTGAAAAGGTGGGCTCAAGGTATTGTGAATGTGAGTGAGCAGGGCAAAGAAACAGGGCCAGTCGACAATGCGCCCGTTCTCCATCGGATAGATTGCCCCTTCGTCGGATGCTGGGTCCTCCTCGTAGAAGACCTCTTCGACAGTCTTCGTTGAATCGCCACTATCCTGGGTATTTTCGTCGGTCTTGATAGTGGTTTCTGTGGCTGTGGTACCATCGGCAGCGGCGGGCTCAGCGTCCTTCATCTCCACGTCCGGCTTTGGGGCGTCCGTGCCATTGTTGACCTTGACTTCTTGACGTCTCTCGTGAACACGGTAAGGCTCATATTCGCCCTTCTTCTCAGCAGGGAACATGCGGGTTGGGAACCGAAATCGCGCGGGCGTGAATGTTTCAGGCAGGCCGAGCTGCGCCAAGGTCATTTGCGAACCCGGCGCAATTAGCTAGATGGATGGGTTAGTTCTGAAAATAAAAAATGTGAAAGACCAAACATACCAAGATATGCTCATCCTTGAAGGGAGGCATCGTTACCAGTGGCAGTAAAGAGCGTTGCAACGATTGCGACGAGTGATGACTGCGCATAGGAGCTCCGCGGTGGCTCGATTTGCGTTCGCGCTTTCTTCCCATTCTGGTTAGCGCGATTTGGGCGGATCAAGAATCACGTGTGGTGGAGTTGATGTTGGACGGGAAATAATGTCTCCGAATATTTGGAGGGTCGACTTTTCTAAGGCAACAATCAACTTCGATTTACGCCAAAACTTATTCATTCTGGGATATTTGGTCAATTACTATGTTTCAATCACTATTATATTACATTTTATATCGAAGTTAGAAGTAAATTATAGGACTGGTCATGATATATATACAACGGTTAAAGACATTGCACAGTACACTACAACATACCTAGGGTATGCATAGAGCTACTTGGACAGGATCTCTCTATCAGCTTGCTAGAACAAGACGTGCAAATGTGCTCCAAGCACCATGATGGCTGGCGCAGTCATCTTTTATTGAATATATGCTGTATGCCGCTGGGCCTTCTAGTGAGAGGTGGACTATGTCTGTTTGACATTCAAATCATATGCAATTAAATGCATTGTGCGCTGTCGCGTCATTAGATAGTATATCCTGCCCACAGCCCATCTTCTTAAAGCAGGTGAAGGGAAAAAACAGAAATTGTTGAGGGAAAAAAACTCCTGACCCACATATCCGGTGGAAACACACAAAACGCCATCATCCTTTCCACTCTATGACCAGCATGAGTCTTAGGTGATTCTATTCTGGGACAGCATGGTATTTGTCAGTGGCTGATCGGAATAGCTCCTGTTGTTGCCTTAGCAGCTCCTCTTCTGTCAGACCACTTTGCTCCATCTTGCTCTGCTTCTTCTCTCGTGACTATAATAGGATCAGAGGTCAGCTTGTGCTTCAAGGTGGCACACTTTCAAGCAAAATGTCAACATACCTTCAGCTGCTGCTTGTGTTCTTCGGCAACAGCGAGTACATCAGCGATATAGTCACTGAAACCGAGATCCCGCAATGCCTTCTCCACATGTTCGCAAGCGATGGTCTTCTTGGCCTCCTTCTCGCTGATATCGTTTGCTTCGGAGGAGATCAGTGTGATGAATTCGACACAACATTCCATGAGCAAGTCACGCGCATCCTTTGAGAAGGTTTGGCCGGAGCTAGGTGGTAGAATCTCGGTGATAATCTTCTGGACCGTCGCTATCATAGAGAAGTTAGCAAATGCTAGCAAACACGTATGTGAAACCACAAGTGCGTAGGCGATGAAGCGGCAAAGAAGCTCACAGAGAGCTATATACATTCATAGGGGTATCGCACCGTACCTTTGGGCAGCGATAGGTCATCGTTTGCTATTCGTGTACAGGTCAGCAGGTTGCGCGGAGGCGGCCAAGATCTAGAGATCACTTACAGTTGAATTCTCGGTCGGACATAGCGAATCAGGTAATATGGTGACAGGTGAATAGAGAACAAGTGTCAGATCTTAAGTGAGAGGCGCAGAAAGGGATGCTTTAATTTCTTTGATCTTTTGCGTGGGGCTCAAAGTTTCAAGGCCCATCGCAGGCGCGCGACGGAGTTAAGTACAATTTCTTGCCGGCAGAATACTACCGCTTTGGACCACATAAATGGCGCTGAAATTTTTCCCCCATTTTACTTCTTCTTCATCAGTCTTCACTATCCTCCAACTACCTTGGAAAAGACTCTTTCAAATGAGATCGAATCTTTCCAAGGTCGCACACTAATGGTAAGCTCTTGCTCGAATCTCTTTTCCAGATTCCTATCATGATGAACTTTGCTTGTCGCCCCTATCATACATTCCATGGTGACCTTACCTGTCCTAGCCAAACGGACTATCTGATCTCTATCAATTCTGCCTATTTGCATCTCACTTCATTTTTTGAAGCTGTTGCTAACTTGATTGAAGAATTTCACAGGAAATCAATCTCTTGTAGCTTGGAGCTTGTTTCTGCTTGGATTATATTCGCGGAACACAATTGGGAGGATTGGGAATCTTTACATCTGTACTATCTCAAGGTACGCGCAGAAATTTTTGCTATATTTTCAGTTCCAATTACATGATGTATACCTTTACATTCCATGCTAAACATGAAGGTGCACTGCACCTAATGCTTCTAAAATGTATTGCTTTTCATCTTTCGACTGACTTGTAAACAATCATTGCTTGAAATCTTGCACTCATTGTTATATGGCGATCTTTACTGACTTGCTATAAAGATTACAGATATGAACCAAAATTTTATATTAGCTATGAATGATATTCTTATTCTTGGAAACCCTCGAGCTCCTTGTCGTTCCATCTGCCAATAATTAGTATTTCTCGCGTAATCTGTGTGGGATAGCACGTACGAAAAGAAACGACCGCTGATTTCCCTCGGCGCATCGAGCACCAGCTTGGCCATGACATGGCCGGGCTGTTCGGGCTTGAGGAGCTTGCCGTCCTTGTGGACTCCAGTGAACTTGGAGTGCATTTCGGCGTCCAATGCTGTGGCATGGTCCTCCCGCAGAGCGCGCTGCATCTCGGTGTCGACCATACCGGGTCTGATAGCCACGGAGGTGACATCGGGTTCTTCGGCACCCAGGCTCATGGCAAAGTTGTTCATCGCGGCTTTGGTCGCAGCATAGAGAGCCCAACCACGGTAACCGGTGACTGCTGCACCGGAAGACGTGAAGATAATTTTTCCTTTGGACTCACGGAGAGCGGGGAGAGCCGCTTTGGCCTAGATTCTGTTAGTAGTGCATGGTAGATTTGATGTAAGTCCCCTACAAAAGCAACTAAGCTGATAAAGTTGATATCAAAGCCTTCCTTCCACTGTTGCGGATCAGCCTCGGCGATTTTGCCGATCTGACCTAGCAGGCCGTGGTTAAGGACCATGCCATCGAGCTGACCGAAGGTCTTGATGGCTGTGTCGACGGCCTGTTGGGCAAGAGAAAAATCTGACAGGTCACCATTCAGGACTGCCACCTGTTCGCTGTATTGCTCCTTGAGTTTTTGGAGGGGTTCAACGCTGCGGGCTACCACCACCACATTGTGGGATTGAGGTGCCGTGAGCAGATACTTGGCCACAGCAAGGCCAATACCTAGAGGGTTCATGTCAGTATATGGCTATGTATGAAGTTTGAGGGGCAGTACCTCTGGAAGCTCCTGTGATAATGATGGTCTTGGCTGCCATTTTGATGAACGCTGGAGTGGTGTCAGTGATATGAAGTTTCCAGTAGAAAATCAACACCGCGACGAGTGAAAGCTAGGAAGGATGGATGCTCAAATTCGAAATGATAGCAGCAAGGAGAATGCATGACAACAGGTTTCGGCGTCGCTTTATATGCCGAGAGACCAACTGTTCCATAACATGCTCGGGGCATATGGACGAACAAACATGGCTGAACAGCGCTGTAAAGCCAGTAACTCAAGCATTGGAAACGAAGAGAGGCAGCTGGTCTAGCTTACTTTCAGATTTAGCAGGCGTCTTTGATGTAAAATATCAATTATGACAAAGAATAATAATATGAGCCTGGACCCCCCGTCGACGGACAGGGACAGAGCGCCAGAAAAGGTTAGTGCGGGGCTTATAATCTGGTGGGAGTGGGGGCGCGAGAGCAGCGAAAGCGGAAGGGCACGGTTAGTCTAACTTCATGGAAATCGTTGGCTCGGGCTAATAAGTTCAAAGACCGAGCAACATCCCAACTAATCGGGTTCCATAACTCAGTTGGTTAGAGTGTGGTGCTAATAACGCCAAAGTCGAGGGTTCGACCCCCTCTGGAACCACGTTTCTTTTTTAGTTTTTTGGCCCTATATTCCCGAATATAGTAACACCTCGTTGATAACTCAGTTGGTTAGAGTATGATACTACCCCTCTGGAACCACGTATTTTACTTTTTACTTTTTTCTTTGGCTGCGACGATTTCGCAGGCCTCAGAATCAGGCATTCGGTAACCTTTAACGTAACGTATTTCACTACCGAGCTGGCCATCTTCAAAACACATAGTAAATGCAACGTTATATTTCAACCACCACAACTTAATTTAAGTTTTACTGCTGCTAGATAGGAATCAATAAGCATTCTTAGTGTCATATATCAATTTCGAATAAATCGAGAACTTGCATCGTTCTGGTATCGAAAAATACATCCCTGAACTGCAGAAATATATATATCTCAGTCACTAAATCATTAAGTTTCTTGAGACTCCCTAAAGAGACTAGATATCATATGAAAACCAGTAGGCTAAAATGAAAAAGTCCCTATAGACCACCGTTGTTGAGATATCAAGTTGTATTTTATCGCATTTACTATGTGTTTTGGAGATGGCCACTCGCTTGCCAGATACGTTAGTTAACTAGTTAACCTAACTAACTAGGCGAATTAGACATCTTGGTACGGAGTTGGGGTGTGAGAAAATAGTGTGAAATTGGTGTTTCGTAAGGGATTTGCAGGTGGTATTGAGCACCTAGCCGTCCCCGCATAGGTAGACGTCATGGATGCTGTACACCTTTTAGTAAACGGAGGAGTACACATCCATAGATGCAATGGAACCTATAGGCATATACTCGAGCCGTAGTCCAGGTGATAATTTAATTTGCAATGAAAAATACGAAGTTAAAGGCATTCTCCATAGGCAGCTAGTTTCCCCATGTCAGACAATCCATGGATATGTACGTTAACGAAGCCGTACATGATAACAAGGTACATACAGATTTCAGAGAAGTGGCCTGAGATCCACTTTTGATAGGAAACACTTGAAGGATCGCCCAAAAGAGCCAACTTGCGACCACTTCTTCTTACTCCACTACACTTACAAGGCTGGGTCCAAGGGTCCCCGGGTACCTAGGTAGGGTAGGGTAGTATCATTATCTAATAATCCGAGGACTTCCTCCCCGCTTTCCGCTCCCACCACTTGTATATATTTCCGGGCCGGTAAAGGAAACGGGAAAGCAAACCATAGATTGCCGGGAGATATAAGCTCAAACACCCCCATCTGCAAGCATTAATTGCAAGCACCGATACATTACTCCGACAATCTGCATTGATAAGCGCTTTTATTTCTACACCTAGAGCAGCCAGCATGTCGACAGTTATCCTTGGAGGAGGTATCATTGGAGCCTCAATTGGGTACTACCTATCTGCCAACCAGCCAGAAGGTGAGATTCACATCGTTGATCAATCTCGAGAGCTTTTCACTTCGGCCTCGGGATATGCCGCGGGTTTCCTAGCTAGAGATTGGTTCGAGCCATCTCTTGCCCCTCTTGGTGCTATGTCCTTCGACTTGCACCATGAGCTCGCCGCAGCGCATGGCGGAGACAGGAAATGGGGATTTATGAAAGGAACAGCATTCAACTTGGACACTGTTGCTCAACGCAAGCGAGAAGGAGGTTCCAGCAATGACGATTGGTTGCGAACGGGCAACAGTAGAGCAGAGACGGCAGCTGGATCCGAGGACACCGCTCCGGTTGAGTTTCCGGAGTGGTTGACGATGCAGAAAGGGGGAGTCCTGGAGAAGATCAACCGAGGCGAAACCGTGGCACAAGTGTGAGTATCAAATTGAAGCACGCTGCGGATGATTTGCTAATAATGCTCAGAGATCCATTGCGGTTGAGCCAATTCCTCATTGACGGTGCTGTCTCCCGAGGCGTTAAGCTTCATAATCCAGCCCAGGCCGCCGCAGTTGTCGAGGATGTGAACGGCACGATTACCGCCGTCAGAATCAAGTCTTTAGATTCCAAGAATGAGACAATCATTCCGTGTACGAACCTGGTTCTGAGCGTGGGACCGTGGACACCACAAGTTCTCAGAGACCTGTTCCCCTCCTCTCAGGTGTCGCTTGATATAACGCCTTTGGCTGGATATTCACTGGTCTTTCGATCCCCTCGGCATACGATGGAGCACGAGAAAAATGTCTACCGTGGGACCAGCCATGCTGTATTCACCACACACCCTCCGTCATGCGGGTTTAGCCCCGAGATCTTCCTCAGGGAAGGCGGAGAGATTTATATCGCCGGTCTCAACGACCCCGGGATGAAGCTTCCACACCGTGCCGAGGATACTAGCCAGCTTTTTGATCCCTCCGAAATGCAAAAACTCAAAGATGTTGCAGTTCGTCTAATGGGTTATCTTCCCAAGGGTATAAAGGAGGCTACCGAAGAGACGGCCAACACAGATGACTTGGAGATTATCCGTGAAGGGTTGTGCTTCCGCCCGGCGGGAAATACTGGCGTTCCCACAATTGGAAGAGTTGGAGATAACTCTTTGGGAGGAGTGAAACCAAACCCCAGGGGGGGCGTCTTCATAGTCGCTGGGCACGGACCGTGGGGAATCTCTTTGTCCCTGGGAACTGGAAAGGTTGTTTCTGAGATGATCAAAAAGCAAAAGCTTTCAGTAGATGTAAGCGGCTTAGCCGTTTAGGACAAAGGTCCTGGTTCCAAGCTGTGAGCATTTGATCTATGAGAAAGACCTCCAGATGCCCTTCCACCAGAACAGCATCAGCCACGTAATTCTCCTTTAATCTCATCAATTTTATCCTCTGAGAGCGTACATATTGACTTTAGAAAGCTCACCTCATCGTCGTTAACAAGGACCCATCATCTTCCGACTTCGAATTTTAATACCTCTTTATCAGCCTCGCTGCCGAAGAGATCAACGTCTTCGTCTGGTACTATGACTACGCAAACTCATCTAGCTTCCTCCCTTCTCTTATAGACACGCTAGTTGACATCGTCCAAGTCATGTCATCCAACAAAACTGTGTTTTCACTATCTTGATTCCACTTTTGTGCTCGGCGTGTTGAGGAAACTGAATCCCCTTGAAGCATGCTCGCCCAATTCTTCATAAACCCCAATTATTTCGACCATGAACCATGCAATGCCAAGGCCACTGCCTACACAGGACACAATCACCACTTTCGCATGCGGGACCGGAACAAACAAGGGGCTTTGGGTGCGATGTGGATACTGTGTTGGGGGGCGTATCTCTTCCTTTCGTACTAATGTATGTGTCACTAAGCCAGTTAATCAAACCGGCGCTGCAAAGCCAACTATTGAAGAATATATGCGCTGCAAAAGGTATGTTCAGATGGATACATCCATAGATGTACAGTGACTCCGCATAATAAGTCTTAACACCCACATATTCCACCGCCCGAGTGACCATTCTACTGGGCTCCCGGAAAATAGATATTCCGGCAACCGGGCCCGAATGACTATTTTACTAGACACCGGAAAATAAATACTCCGACCCCGGGCAGCTCCAATTATTCGCGCCACTCGAGCTCTCCAGAAACTTCAGGCATCAGATAGTACCCGCTACCAAAGCAACTTCGCCCTTCTTTCATTTCTGTCTGCTTCTTCTGTATCTGCGACCCGAACCCCTCATTTCACCTTCCCTCAAACCCTCCTCAGCCAGCATCAGAGCTTGACAGCAACTAGCCATGGCCAACTACCTCGCATCCATCTTCGGTACCGAGCAGGACAAAGTCAATTGTTCCTTCTACTACAAAATCGGTGCATGCCGACACGGGGATCGCTGCTCTCGCAAGCATGTCAAACCTTCGTACTCGCAAACCATTCTCATGCCGAACATGTACCAGAACCCGGCCTACGACCCCAAGAACAAGATGAACCCCAGCCAGATGCAGAACCACTTCGACGCCTTCTACGAGGACGTATGGTGTGAGTTGTGCAAGTACGGCGAGATCGAAGAGTTGGTCATCTGCGACAACAACAACGACCGTAAGTAATGTCCTCTTTCAAATGTCTGACTCTCTACTAACATCTGGTCTCGCGACAATAGATCTCATTGGTAACGTCTACGGCCGATTCAAATACGAAGAAGATGCGCAGGCTGCATGTGACGCATTGAACTCTCGTTGGTACGCAGCGCGACCTATCTACTGCGAGTTATCGCCCGTCACGGATTTCCGAGAAGCTTGTTGTCGGCTCAATAGCGGTGAAGGATGTGTACGAGGGGGCTTCTGCAATTTCATTCACCGGAAAGATCCTTCAGCTGAGCTTGACCGCGAGCTGCGTCTCAGCACGAAGAAGTGGCTCAAGGAGCGCGGCAGAGACCCTCGTAGCGCCAGCCGAAGCCCCAGCCCTGAGCCCACCCGGCGCAGATACTAGTGGTGCACCACGACTCTGCTTTTCTCATTGTTTTTTCTCTAAACTCGATCCTTTGGCGTTCGGCGATATCAGTCATTGGTTCGATTCCAGATTCCTTTGCGCAGCGGCGCATCTAAGGCATGGGGGTTCGGTCTGTCTTTACTTTTGCCGATTGGCATTTTCGTTTCATGATATCAGACTTGCGTGATCAATAAAACACACAGCTTGACTGCATGTAAAAATCTCGCCCAGTAATTTCCTAAGCGTAGATGAAGCCGAATCCGGCACGTTGACCAGCAGCCACTGAGTGAGGGCCAAGGAAACTGATTCAAAGGCACAGGATTTGAATTGAACTTCTCTCTCCAACACTTTAAATTCACATGTCACCGTCAGAAAATTGCCAACTTCCTCGTTACAAATGACAGATAATTCAACACGCTCACACACAAATAAAAGGCACAGCCTCGTAAGCATCTAATGATAATTCCATGGATTGTACACCCTCATACCGTGCTCCGTAGATGTACCCAGTTAAGTCGGATGATACTAGGGCTTCTCATGGCCTGATAACTGTTTGCTCAGACAAACATCCTTTATTCTGGGGCCAAAAAGATAAAATCTGACTTACGAATAGAAACAGTGTTTCCTACATAATTTTCTTGGTCTTCCAAGGTTAGTAGATATATGACGCCTCAGGAATCAACAAATTTACTAAGCTTCCTTATCGGTTGTTCTTATCTTTCTTTCATCTACAGCCACGCGAGCGCGTCTGATCGCGTCAAAGCCAGTGGTCCGTTGGCACGAAGGACCTTGAACCGACCAAAATTGCGGACTCTAAGACCCCGGACCAGAAGCAATTGTTGAAAATATGACCGAATACGATGATAGCAATCGTGCTTTCCTCCAGGCGTTCATGGCACGCTCTTCTATGACCTTTGAAGATGCGCAACCCATCCTGGCTGCGATATTAACAGTATCCGGTACTCGACTCCTGTTTAAGCCTCGTGATATGAATGGTGGTAGTCGCTGATGTTGAAATTATCGAGCAGAGGGGCGACCAGTGGATCCTGATGAGGTCGGGGAAGACCAATTCTCTGACTTTATATCCGCGGCTAACACCGCCGTGTCACCCTTCGACCTGGAAATCAGAAGCGCACTGCCACAAGTACTTGAAACAGTCCAGCAAGATGGTCCAGCCACACCACCGAAGCGAGTGTATGCGCTTGTAAATACTACGAGTGATCCTTTGACACAACTCGCAACCACTTATTCTCCGGACGAAATCTCATTTCTCAAGCGCTTGCTTGACTACATGTTTATTACGAATAACACACGATTATGTGAAGGAATGGCAGTTACACAGATGCAAGCTGTCCAACTCCATAAGGCTCCGTCTAGCGAACGGCAATCCACGAGCAACGAGTCAACACAGACCCAAACCGCAACGGTACAGTCATTGCGTATGACCCAAGCAGAAACCATGATTATCCACTTGATTGAAGAGGGCTGGCTACAGAAGAGCCGAAAGGGCTTCCTCAGCCTCACACCACGAGCACTGATGGAATTGCGTGGCTGGTTGGTCTTGACGTATAACGACGAGAGTTTCGATGGTCGACCGATCGAGCGGGTCAAATCTTGTGCTGCTTGTAAAGAAATTATCACTGTAGTAAGTATGCTTGATACCAAGTTAGTATAAAACAGACCTGACTGAGATCCTCTAGGGCCAACGCTGCGATGACCGTGAATGCAAGGGTCGACTACATGACCATTGCATGCGCAACTTCTTCCGCATGCAGCAAGCGGAGAAATGCCCCGTTTGCAAAGTGGAGTGGCCCGGCGATAAATTCGTGGGCGAGAGAGCACTCACTGCGAATCCGAGGCCAAGCAATGCCGTTCCTCGACAGAGGCAGTCTTCGTCTGCTGCACCTAGTGCCCTTGGCGAAATTTCCGAGGACGAGAATGAAAATGAAAATGAAAATGAAGAAGAAGAAGAAGAAGAAGAAGAAGAGGAAGAAGAACGGACTTGAATCTTCGCTGGCGTGGCAGATAAGATCTGTCTTGAGTCTTGCTCTGTTTGACCAAGCGTTAGTTTCGAGGTGTGTTCGCACTGTGGGCACGTCCATATGAATAGCAACGAATGAATGAGTGGCAGGGAAAATATCGAGTAGGATTTCTGTCAGCTTGGACACTATTCCTGGGCTTTTTGACAAGTTCAACCCTTGCTTTGTTTTCAAAATGGAGATCATGCCCAGGTGTATATGAGAAGGGTCATGGGCTTTGTAAGATACAAGCCCCAAGGCCGCGTGTGAACGTGATCTTGGATGACCTATGAAATGAAATCAAACATGTAACTAAAGCATATTGAAATACTTCTTACTTCTGTATTCAAGGCATCACATAAATGAAGAAAATGGTGTTTGCAACAGGGGCATGTCATGTAAATGCGAGAAGTTGATATAGTAGACACCTGAGGCATCAGTATTTCCCTACAACCTTCGAGGTTAAACTTCAGTGTTTAACCCTTCGAACCTTCAAATGTTCATCCTTCATCTAAACAGAAGAATATTGACTTTTCATTCAATACTTCCCTTATCTGCCGTTTTTACACCCCGCGGACTCAATACCTTCTGGGGTTCCAAGGTTTTGTCAGACAATTTACTAATGAAACCAACTTCCCCACAAAACCGCAAAATCCCTCACACCAAACCTTGCCGGAGTCCCGAAATCCCGTCCCTGTCGATGACGATGATCTGGGGCCCGATCCCAACCTTGAAAGCCGGTTCCAACTCGGGTATTGGCCGTGAAGGATGCCGACGGAAACTTTCGGTCTTCACAGCCAATAGCCGATGTCATCTACAAAATACCACCCCACATTTCCCGGTTTTCCCGTTGCAGGCCGTTTTTCATACAAGGCACCAGCCTCGTATAGCCTACGTCTCCCAGCCCTTGGCTGACCGTCAGGATGTAACCTCCACTCGAAGGCGTATAGCCAACCTTGGAACTGAGAACGAGAACGGTCCTCTGACGTTGGAACGGGCCATTAAGCTTGACTTTCCAAGGATTTCCCCACATTTCACCACGCCTTCTCACCGGAGCAATTTTAAATAAGGTTGCTACATACAGAGGTACGTGCCAGGATCAGCTCATTTTGTGCTGATTTGGGAAACTGCCCCTAAATCTCCATCTTTCCTTAAAACCCCATCTTTCTTCCTCCTTCCTCTCCCCAACAGTGGTCGTCGCTTCTTACTTAACTTGATTTTGGTTTATTCGAGAACCTGGTTGACAAGGTGGTGAACCTGCAATATGCAGTTCAAGGTGAGTTTGTACCTGTATGCCCTTGCCAATCGTCTAACACTCTGCTTAGTCCTTCACCTGCGCGGTATTGCCGCTACTTCTAGATCTTGTCAGCGGCTCTCCCGACAGTCGTATCGCAAGATGCTTCAGAGAACACGCAGGCTCTAGCTCGGCGGCCAACTTCAGCAACAATGTGTACCAGACTGGCTTTGATGGTGTGACCTGGGATGAAGACAACTGGCTTCTGAGCTCAACGAACTTGGAACAGGGTCGATATCAATCTCGAGGATCCGTGGCGAACGGATATTTAGGTATCAATGTTGCCAGTGCTGGTCCTTTCTTTGAGATTGATAGTCCCGATGACACCAACGGTTGGCCACTTTTCTCTAGACGCCAGGCCTTTGCAACGATCAGTGGGTTCTTTGACTCACAGCCTACCACAAACGGCAGCAACTTCCCCTGGTTGTCCCAGTATGGAGATGACAGTGTGATCAGTGGTATTCCCCACTGGGCCGGAATCATCTTGGATCTTGGTGATGATACCTATTTGGATGCAAAGGTCGACAATAAGACCATCTCCAATTTCCGAACCACATACGACTTCAAAGCAGGCATCTTGGTCTGGTCTTACACATGGACACCTCGGGCCAAGGGATCGTACCAGATTACCTATCGTCTTCTCGCCCACAAGCTGTACGTCAATCAGGCTGTGGTCGAAATGGAGATTATCCCGACCACGGGATCGGATGCGACTATCGTCAATGTCATCGACGGAGCTTCTGCAGTGCGCTCTGACTTCGTGGAGACTGGGGAAGATGATGGCGCAATCTTCTCGGCAGTACGGCCGAATGGGATTGCTAACGTCACAGCTTATGTCTACGCGAACCTCACTGGGTCGCCAAATGTGGATTTCTCTTCGCGCAAGATCGTCTCCGACAAGCCATATGTCCACGCGAACGAATCGTCCATTGCGCAAGCCGTGGATGTGAAGTTCAAGCCTGGTCAGTTAGTTCGCGTCATCAAATATGTTGGAGGTGCTTCTACGGATGCCTTTGTTGATCCGAAACAGACGGCCAAGAAGGCTGCCTCCGCCGCGATGCGCAATGGCTACGCCCAGTCTCTTCGAACCCATCTCATGGAATGGGAAAACGTTATGCCCGAGGCTTCGGTTGACCACTACACGTTCCCCAACGGGACATTGCCTGCAGATAGCCATGTCATTGATTTGGCAGTGATTTCCGTGACCAGCACTTACTACTTGCTGCAGAATACTGCTGGTAAGAATGCAGTCAAGGAAGCCGCGGGAGCACCGATAAATGTGGACAGCATTTCAGTTGGTGGCTTGACCTCTGACTCATATGGTGGCCAAGTCTTCTGGGATGCGGATGTATGGATGCAACCTGGGCTTGTTGCTTCTCACCCAGAAGCATCCGAGCGGTTCACCAATTTCCGTGTGGCCCAGTATGCCCAAGCACAAGAGAATATGCAGACTGCTTTGGCTGGCTCCAAGAATCAGAGCCATTTCAGTCCATCGGCTGCGATCTTCCCTTGGACCAGTGGCCGTTTTGGCAACTGCACGGCTACTGGCCCCTGCTGGGACTACCAGTATCACCTGAACGGAGACATCGGAATTTCCTTGGTTAACCAATGGGTTACAAGTGGCGACACAAAGGCATTCAAAGAAGAGCATTTCCCAATCTACGATTCGGCGGCTACTCTCTATGCGG